AATTCTAAGTGTGAAGTGGGTATTCGGTGTAGGATGAAGGGCTACCCAAATGTCCAAGATCAGGGGCAGGCCGAAATATAACTATAATATTTGTCGAGGAGAGAATGCTATCAAGAATTTAGTAACATAGGGAAAATCTTATGTTTTACGTGTGTGTGTTGGGGGGGATGATGGGATTTATAGAAAGAATGAGAGTGAGATGTAAAATTAATAAACTTGAGGGAAAAAACAACCTGAAAGAGTTTTATCCTCAGGAAAATTAACAGCCATCTGGTCAGATTTCGGGTTTTTTTCAAGTTTCCACAGTGGGCATGCATTTGCCTTTAAGTTGTTAGGAAGTGTGGCACCGAAGGATTACGCACTGGGCCACAAAGTTGGTTAGAACTGCAAGGTTGGCGGCTCAAACCCACCAGCCACTCCTTGAAAATCCTACTATCTAGGGGGGCTGTGTCGGAACCGACTTGATCGCACTTAACAATAACAGAACATTCTGTAGTGGTTAGGACACAGGGGCTGAGGTCCCGTGAGCTTGTTTAATCACCATCTGCTCTTCCCAACACAGAATGGATCACCACCTGAAATCTTCTTGCCATCTGGGGACAGTGCTGCTGAGAGCAGACACTGGCACCAGGCTCGGTGGGCACCCCAGACTCTTCGGCATTATGACTCACTCCGTCTGGAACATGGGCACAACCCCAGAGAAAAAGGGGGCCCAAAAGAACACCGATTGAATGTCTGCCACTATTTAGTGGGGGCTTTGGGTAACAGCTAAGTTCAGTTTCACAAGAATGAGAAGCAAAGTTTGCATTGCCTGCACTTCTGAGTTTTCAGACTAAAGTCCATCGCACAGTTTAAAGACCAGAGCCAATGGAACGAAGGTGAAAATCTCTGGACACTTCTGCCATGTGCAGAATGAAGGTCTGCCTCTTTGTGGTGACAGGTCACACCTCCACCCTGGCCACACCCTGTACCATTGGTTTGGGTCCAGCTCAATGTCATCTCCCCTATGAAGCCCTCCAGAGCCCTGGTAATAGCAACTACAGAGTCCCCAAGGGTCAGGCACTCCCCTTTGCAGCTGGCCCACAGCTGACCATGTTACAAACATCTGGACAACAGAGGAAGAGCCCTCCTTCGCTCACCTACATCTAATGCATGTCACCTGGTGGAGCAGGTACCCTCCCTCCATCTTACAGGTATGGAAACGAGGCTCAGAGAGGGCAAGTAACCAGTTCAGGCCACACAGCGTCTCTGTCCATAGGCACCTTCAAACCCACAGCCCAGAACAGGTTGTGTGCCACCTCTTCACCTGATCCCATACTTTCTCCACCCTGTTCACCTGGCAATGCCTCTGCTACCCAGTGGCCACAAGCTCACCACAGTCCCGGCCACACACCCCTGGCCGCAGTGAGGATCTGGTGGAAAGTGTAGGACCCTTGGTGACCCTAGAGGCCCTGTGGACCCGGGGGCTTTCCCAGCCAGGAGTGACAAGTGGCGAAATGTAGAGTGGCTTGTCAAACCTGGCTGCTTCACAGCCTCCAGCCAACACCAGGCCCATGGGTGCCAATGTTTGCATTGGTGCTAGCAGCTACATTCCTGAGAGCCAGGCCAGGGCCACATTCCCAGGTCCCCCTGGGGAAGGAGAGTCCTTTCCAAAAGTTCTTACATGCAGGAGAAACCAGAGGAAGGCTGGTGGGTGAGTGGGCAGTGGGCACAGGGATGGGCACCAGCTGAGTCATGGAGCCTCCCCCTCCCCCCTGGGGAGACCCAGCTCTGGTCAGTGGAAGGGGTCACTCCAGGAAGGGCCTGAGAGCTTGTGGTCTTCCGTGGGGTTGCTGGGTTGCACCCCTCTGCCCAGTGTCTCTCCTGGAAGACTGATGTTCCTATCGCCCAGGTACTGGTCTCGTGATGAGACACAGGAGTGAGCCTTGGGACCAACAGCCCCTTCACTTACAGGTGCAGACGTTTGAGCCAAGCCACTTAGGTGTCCTTGGCCTCCAGCCATAAAAACAGGGACAGGAAGAGGATGACTTGTCAGTCAGTGTGATGTACTATGGTGGCTTATGTGCTACCACCAGTAATTCAAATACCAGAAGGGTTACCCACGGTGGAAATGCTTCAGTGATGCTTTCAGACTAAAGATGAGGAAGAAAGGTCTGACAAACTACTTCTGAAAATTAGCACGAAACCACGAGGTCCACGGTTTGAGCCCACCAGCTGCTCTGTGGGAGAAAGAGGAGGCTTTCTGCTCCTGTGAAGATGTGAAGCTTTGGAAACCTTATATAGGGTTGCTGTGAGTTGGAACAGACTCAACTGCACTTAACAATGGAGCACACTAGAACACTGGACTGATCACCCAGTGTCCATGATGCTGCCACAGGGATGGTATACGTGAGGAAGGCACAAGTGAGGGCGGATGCAATGACAACCAGGGACCAGTTGTTGTTGTTAAGTGCCGTCGAGTCGGTTCCGACCCATAGCGACCCTGTACAGGGAGTCTAGTACACCGATGCATTTGAGGGAGTATTCCTTCCCCATTATTTGAGTTCCTGGAGGCGGCTGTATCTTCAGGCCTCCGTAGGGACCTCTCCTTCTGGAAAGGAGGGCTTGGGGAGGGCAGGGGCTGCAGATGGGAGGCCACTGGACAGATGGACAACCTCCGTCAGCAGAGGGCGCTCCACACAGACGCCAACTTTGGCAGAAAACCACACGGGGGTGGGCCAGCGGCTGAAACCTGACTCTGGGGCCCTAAGGCTGACAGCTATCAGACTGCAGCCTGGAGCCAGGCTGGCCTGAAACCTCCAATGGCGCCAAGGGGCACCTGGGGCTGGGAACAAGAGACTCTCAGCCTACTGGAGCCAGGCCAGGGCACCGAGGGTACGGCCCCCCCACCAGTGGGTGCCTCATCAGTGTTGGGCACTCCCTGCCCTGTCCATGCTGTCTCCAGTCTGGACAGGCCTGGGGCTAGCTCTGGACATGGGGCATATCATTTCTTCACTAAGTCTCAGTTTCCTCCCCTGCAAAGTAGTTCTAGCAGCAACCTCAGAGATTGAAAAGTAAAGGAGGTACCTGCGGTTACCAGTACAGGGCCTGGTGCCCATAGGACCACCAGAAATATTTGTAAAAGGAATCCCCAGCAGGCCTCCAGGGCCAAGCCCCCAGTCGCCACTTGTTATGCTTTTGCTGGTGCTACAGCCACAACCCTCCCTAGGGGAGGGCCCTGGTGGCACAGTGGTTAAGAACTTGGTTGCAAACCGAAAAGTCGGTAGTTCAAACCCACCATGGGAAAAAAGATGCATCTGTCTATTTCCACGAAGACTCACAGCCTTGGAAACCCTATTGGGCAGTTCTACTCTGCTCTCCGGAGTCCTGGTGTGGCGCTGTGGGTTAATGCGCTAGACTGCAAAGCCGTTTGAACTGCAAGGTTGACAGTTCAAGCTCACCAGTTGCTCCTCGGAAACCCGATACAGGGTCGCTATGGGTTGGAGTCGACTCAATGGCACTTAACAACAACAACAACAACAACAACTTTGCTCTACTGGGTCACTGTGAATTAGAGCTGACTTGATGGCCATGGCTTTACGAACCGAAAGATTAGTGGTTTGGGCCCACCCAGTAGTGTACAGAAGAAAGGTCTGGTGATCTCTTCTGTAAAGAACATTGGTAAGTGCCACCGAGTTGGTTCTGACTCATAGTGACTCTGTTTGTATAGGGTTTCCAAGGACAGGCTGGTGGGTTTGAACTGCTAACCTCGTGGTTAGCAGTCTAGAGCTTATCCTACAGCCAAATCAGCCTGTAGAGCTCAGTTCCACTCTGTACATGTGCCAGGGATGGGAACTGACTTAATGGCACTGAGTCTGTCTTGGGGGAATTTGACTTCCACTAGCCCCCCCCCTTACAAATATCGTTCAATCGGTTTCAGGCTTCTGAGAACTCTGGAAAAAAACCTCCTTTGGGGTTACATGAGCCATTGATCCCTGCTGCAGACCCACCCAGAGTCCTTCCCCGCTTTTCCCTGGCTCTCAGCCGGCCCCTTCCTTCCCCAGGAAGCCCTCCTCCACCCATCACTCCTGAGCCCTCTCAGGTTGCTTGCAGGCAGACACCAGCTGCCTGGTATGACATTCCTCAGTAAGTCTGGCCCCCAGGCAATGCCAACCCTTCCTCCGGCTGAGGGCTTCTGCCTCTTGTGCCCGGCCAGGCTGACCCAGTCACTGCAGCCTAGAATCCAGAGCTGAGGATCCAGGGGCACTCGGGATGACTTCAGCCCACATGTGAAACCGGATTTCTAGCCACAGGGCCCATTTCTGACAAGGTCTGAGCGTTCCCCACCCCAAGCACCTCTCCTGGGGTGGGATACAGGCTCCCCCGTCTGGCCACACCCAGGCTCTGGGGGGTGGTCTGTGGTCTAGTGAGGGCCAGAAGTTGGAGGGTTAGCTACTAAACTCAATCCCTTTGAGTTGATTCTGTGTCCAGAGCAGCCTTATAGGACAGGATCTACTCAATCCCATAGAGTTTCTTTCCTAAGCTGTGAAGCTGTGAAAGCAGTCAATCATCTATAGCTCTCTCCCCTACAGTACCTGGTCACGACAAACCACTGGTGCTTCTGGTTAGTAGGCCAGTGCTTGAGCCACTGTACCACCAGGGCTCCTTTCTCTTGACAAAACCAGGAGAGGTATTTACCACCTAAGGCTGGGCGAGCACACCTCACCAAGCTCTTGATCCACTAGCAGATAAACACTTATCACCACACTCACCCATTTCCCCAGACCTCCTTTACCACGAGGAGTGGGGGGGGCACTGCCAGGGTTGGGCCACTCCCTCCTGAGCCACCCCCACCTCCCACCCCTTTCCTCTGACCCAGAATCACTCAACCTCCCTCCTTCCAGCTGGGGCAGGTGCCCAGGTGTGGGAAGAGAACAGAAAGATCAAGTACAGCCTCTGCCCCCGTACGGCCAACAGTGCTGCCCGCCCCCTGCCCCCGGGCCCCAGCCAGCATCCCTTACCCGGCTTGGGGATGAGTCCTTGAAAAGGCCTGGAAGACAAAGAGAGATGGGTGTCAGGTGCCAGGAAAGTCCTGTGGGGCAGGAGCCGTCCATCAGCCCTTACTGCTCGCAGCATCTACAGCCCACCCGAGACCTACTGAGCCAGAACCGGCATTTTAACAAGACCCCTGGATGGTTCCTGTGAACTTGAGTTTGGGGAGCCTGGGCCAGGGGCTTGTCCTGGGACGAGGCACTACCTGTCTCTGAGGTCTTGGATGCATGACCTATCTCAGCCCCTCTTTTCTGTAATGGAATGAATGCCTCTTTTACAGGATGCTGGGAACACAGGAGGCGCTGAAGAGCGGGTAGGAGATGCCCACGAAGGCATTCCTGCCCTGGGGGCTGTGGTCTGCCTTCATCTCTGCAGGGAGCCCACACCTGCCAGCTTGCAGTCCCTCCAGGGTGCTGGGAGGGTGGTACCAAGGCAGGCCCCTATGGCAAGGCCAGTGTCTCAGCTCGCTGCTGATCCCTCCTCCACACACACCTGGTGACGGTGAACTTGATCTTGTCAGCCACCGCCAGGATCCTCTCTAGGTTCTGGGAGCCAAAGGTGCAGGGTTTCCGGAAGGGGATTCCCGGGGGCAACCCCTCAATGATGACGGAGCCGGGGTTGCTCTTGATGCGCTTGTAGGGGACCTGGACCGGGTACTTGATTCCCAAGGCTTCTCCTACGGATGAGAAGGGTGGAGGCCAGCCGTCAGGGGCACACAGGGGCTGTGTGTGTGTGTGGGTTACAGATGTATGTCTCAGGTGAGCAGAGGCACATACACAATGGGCACTCAGGGTTGACGATAGCAGTAGGAAAGGCATGGATGGAGGACGGAGGTATGTAGGGCAGTTCTGGGAATGCAGGCCGAGGCTGTGCTAGACTGAGGGTACGTGGGCAATGCGTCAAAGTTGCTGGGGAATGAGCAAGGCTGATGCATCTTGAGGATGGGCACTTGTGGACAGAGCTGGCCCTTTCTTACAATGCCAGATGCCCATCAGCAGCCCCCACCCCCCACGCCCGGCCAGTCTGCCACACCCAGGCTCAGGCCAGACCCCAGAGCTCTCTTCCTTCAGCGACTGTCCCTTATCTCACAGCTGGCTTGGCACCTCTTCAGGACGCCTTTCAGCTGACCCTACCCACCTGGTCCTCCCTCAGGGCTGGGTTACAGGTGGGACCTGAATGCCTAGGGTTCAGCTACAGTTCCTATCTTTCATATTCCGGGGCAGGTCTACCACAGGAGCCCTGTTCCAGACAGAGGTGAACAGGAAGACAAAGGAGGAAGTGTTCAGAGCTGCAGCTGTGGCAAGTTTGCTGGGAGCATCGCCCAGCACTGCAGGATGCCCTGGTTGGGGGCCCTGGCAGAAACCTCTGCAGGGCTCAGTACTTGAAGGGACAGAAGAGATTTTCTGTACAGCAAACTGCTTTTTCATTCCAGATGTTGGCAATCATTATGACTGATCTTGTTTCCCTTTTTGCTCTGGCTCCCAGGAAACTCAGGGTCTGATTTGTGCTCTGAGTTTTTAAGTATGGAGTTTTTGAGTCTTTACTTCACTCTGGCTGTCATGTTTTATTTTAATCAATATATAATTCTTATCTACCAGATTTCTGTCAGTCTGTGGTGGCTTGCATGTTGCTATGGGGGTAGAAGCTATGACATAGGTATTTTAAATACCAGCAGGGTCAACTACTGGAGTTTCTAGGCCTTTCTTCCTAGTCTACCTTCCAAACTAAGACTAGAAAGAAAGATTTGGCTATCTACTACTAACAATTAATTAGCCAATGAAAACCATATGAATTATAACAGAATACTGTCAAATAAAAAGCTGGAAAATAAGTCCTCTAGGTGGGAAGACACTCAGAAGGCACAGTTGGCCATAACAATGGATGTGTGAGCAAGCCAATGGCAGTGAACTTGGCTTAGGATGGGACAGTGTTTCATTCTGTTGCATACGGGTTGGTATGGCAGCTAACAATGATGTAATTCACACATCATAAAATTCAACCTTTTGAAGTACGCAATTCAATGGTGTTTCATCTTCTTCCCAGGTTGTGTAACCACCACCATCTCATTGCAGAAGATTTTCATCATCCCAAACAGTAAGCCTGTCCACATTACTACCCACTCTCTCACGGGTCGACCATTTGCCTCTATGGATTTCTAGTCGGTTTTTAACTTTTCATTCCAACTGGCACTGTTGGATAAGCAATGGACTGCTAACCACAAGGATGGCAGTTCAAACCCAGCAGCCGGAAATCCTGTACAGGATTGCTTCAAGTCTGAACTGACTTGCTGACATACAACAACAAGAAGTCAGACATGAAACAAATCATATAGAAATGATCACTTATACCCATAATCTATACATATAGGAAAAGTGCCATCTCTATAGTTTTCTCTAAAATGACTTTTTCTATTCTGATTAATGGCTGCCATCTTGCCAAATCCAGCTGACTAGTTTATGTTTTCTGTTTCCTCTTAGGACCTTCCTCAGGGCCTTTGCACATGCTGTTCTCTCAGCTGGAATGCCTTTCCTTGGCTGGATTAACTCTTTACTCACTAGGACGGGGTGAACTGTGTCCCCTCAAACATACGTACTGAAATCCTCCTGACCCCTCTCCTTGTAAGTGGATTCCTGGTGTGGCCCTGTGGGTTAATGCGCTGGACTGTAAGGTCAGTTTGAACCTCAAGGTTGGCAGTTCAAGCTCACCAGTCATTCCTTGAAAACTCAATACAGGGTTGCCATGAGTTGGAACTGACTTGATGGCACTTACCAACAACATACCTGTAAGTGAAGTCCTGGGGGGGCTTCGTAGGCTAAGCACTGGACCACAGGATTGGTTTGAATTGCAAAGTCAGTGGTTCAAACTCACCAGTTGCTTGTCAGAAACCCTATACATTGTTGCTGTAAGTTGGAACTGACTCAATGGCACTTAACAACAATATCTATAATTAGGTCCCTAGGTAGCTCAAACCTGGTTGTGGTATTTGTTACAACAACACAGGGTAATGCTTTAGTCCCTTCAGAGAGGCCTTCCCTGGCCACTAATATATCAGTAAAACCAGTTACCATCAAGCTGACTTGGATTCATGAAGACCCCAGAGTCATCAAGTCAGTGGATGTTTCTAGAAGTAGAATGCCACCTTTCTTCTGAGGTGCCTCTGGGTAAACTTAAACCTCCAACCTTCCAGTCAGCAACATTAACTGTTGGCCACCATCCAGCGATGCCAATGTAATGTCTGTTGTTGTTGTGTGTTGTCGAGTTGGTTCTGATTCATAGTGACTCATAGGGTTTCCCAAGAGTGGCGGGTGGGCTTGAACCACCCAGAGTGAGTATGGTTAGCAGTGCAGTGCTTATCCTATAGTGCCGCATCAGGATACTAATGTAATGTTTGTTGTTATTAAGTAAGTGCCATTGAGTCGATTCCACAATTCCTTATCGTCTATCAGATTCTGGAAGCAGTTGGTGAACGTCTGTCATGCTTCACTGATCGGAGATGGCAGAGTGGGGTCTGAGTCATTCACTATTGTATATCCAGTGCCTGGTGCACAGTAGGCACACCAAGAAATATTTATGAATGAATGAATGAATGAATGGCATCTCCTAGAGGTCAAAGCTGTCAGAACTGGGAATCGCCCTGCTCTCTCCTCCCCGCCAGCCCCCTGACTCACCATATTTCTTATTGAACAAATCTTGGACTTGCTCCCTCAGCGTGTTGGCGATGTCGATCCGTGACAGCCTGGCGTCATAATTTTCTGCAAAATGAAAAGACAATTATAGATTTGGGCTATGAAATGAAGAGGCGCTTGGTAACTTTTAAGGAATGTGATTTTCTAATGATAGGAAACTCCTTCTCTGGCAATTGGAGTTGTTTGGAGTGGCTCCTTTGGAGTCCTTTAGGACTCTCATCTTGACAGGTGTGTGTGTGTTTCCGGGAGGACATAGGCTGTTGTGGCAACAGTAGTGAGTTGGAAATGAAGCTAATTGTTGACATTTGAAAATCACCAAACCAACAAATAGGCCTTGGAGGTAAGCAACACGGGATGGCTCAGAGCAGGACTCCCCTGAAGTTAGCAAGGGGAGGTTCCCACAGGGACAAGGACTGGCCAAGCAGCTTCCAAGGTCACTTAGCCACTCTGAGTGCCCATTAGGGAGTCCCAGGCAGGCCCCTGGCAGAGGGAGAGAGACTTTGGGTAGCCGGGTGAGGGTACAGTAGGGTCCTCCATCTGCTGAGAAGGCTAGGTGTGAGCAGTCACAGGTGAGGGAGACATGTGGGATCCCTCTCATCACAGAACATTCCGGCTGCCCCTGGGATTGGGGTCCCCCTGCCTGGGCACTGCCCCCCAGGGTGGCTCCTCCCACCACCTTCTGACTATCCCCAATTTCTGCTCTGAGCTACAGTGAGCACCCAGAGACCTCAGGCCACCCTTGGAGCAGTCCTACACGAAGCAGAGGCAGATGGGCGCAGTGGGCCTCTTCACTCACCCAGGGGCTCTTCCTGTTTCCCCCTCAGACCTACTTCTGCCTTTACTCAAGTTTTTCCCTCTCCTGTTCTTAGCCTAGCCCGGTCTCCAGGGAGACCTAGGGTTTTTCAAAGAGCACGTGTGGCCCCTACCCAGCCTTCCATGCCCATCTCCCATGAGGAGCCCACAACTCAGAGTGGCCGCCAGCTGCCAGCCCGGCTCATTCCACCGCAGCACCGCCCCATCCCCAGACTGGTCCTAGAAACCCACAGGAGCCCCAATCCTGGTACTGGACCAGCTGACCTCACCCTGAGCTGCACCCTTACCTTGGAAGCCCTGTCTCTTCAGGCTCTCGTCCACAAGAGGGTCCCCGGAGTCCCTCTCTGGGGGCGGGGGAGAGAAGCCAGGGTGAAGTGGCAGCTCCAGGCACCCAAAGGCCGATGGGGAGGGCATGGGGGGATGCCAGGGGAAGATGGGGTCAGGACTGAAGAAGCAGGAAGAGGCTGATGGCAGAGCCAGGGACCCACCCACGTCCCACATGCAGCCCAGCCAGGTTACCTTGACTTTCTGTGGCAGGCTCTTTGATGCCCTCGGTGAGCAGCTCGGGCCTGGAAAACAGCAATCATGCGGGCATTAGTCCTCCCTGGGCCTCAGTCTGCACATCTATGCACAGTGGGTCCCAGAGGCACACCGAGCTTTCAGGCAAGCACCTGATGCCACTTTCCACTCCGAAGGCCTCAGAGATGGGTCCCGCTTTGCTGCTAACTTTATCTACACAGAACCCACAAAGCCCTTTCCAGAACCATAGTATTATCAATAACCATATATTCATGTGAAAGCTGAACAGTGAATAAGGAAGACTGTAGAAGAATTGATGCTTTGGAGTTATGGTGTTGGAGGAGAATATTGAAAGTGCCATGTGCTGCCAAAAGAACCAACAGATCTGTTTTGGAAGAAGTGCAGCCAGGGTGCTCCTTGGAGGCCAGGATGGCCAAACTTCGTCTCTCATACTTCAGACATATTGTCAGGAGAGACCAGTCACTGGAGAAGGATATCATGTTTGGTAAGGTGGAGGGTCAGAGCAAAAGAGCAAGACCCACAGCAAGATGGATTGGCAAAGTGGGCTCAATGGGCTCGAGCATGGCAACAATAGTGAGGTTGGCCCAACACCGGGCAGTGTTTTGTTCTGTTGTGCATAGGGTCGCTATGAGTTGGCACCGACTTGATGGTACCCAACAACAACAACAACAACAACACAGCGGCACTGCTTCCATCTTCCCATCGAACTGGGTGTGGACTCACACTACGGCTGGGCTGCTCCCTGAGGGTCTCCCTTCTCTTCACCCCGTACCTCTCCAGCTGAGACCCCTCTGCACTTAGGTTTTCTTATCTGAAATGGGAATAAAAACCCTTTCCTAGCTCAAATGTGGAGGGAGTGGGCCTCACGTACCCACATTCCAGGAGGCCCACTGGCCGGGGAGTCGACGCTGTGCTCAGCTTCAAACCCTTAGTGGACTGTGGGGGAGTCACTTTTACTTCTTGGGTCTAAGTTTCAACACAGAGATTTGAGAGGAGGTGCAGGGGTGAGGAGGGGAGGAAGGACTAGACAGAGCTTCTGAGACTGCTTCAAGGCAGGGCCTCCCCACCTCAGCCTGGTACCCAGAAGATGCCTGCTCTGGCTTTTAGTCTTATTCCCAGGCAGTGTAGCTAGAACTTGATTTCCTCCTGTGGTGGAGAACTCAGCACCTATCCAGGCTGCCTCACTCACAGATATACTAATCCTGGTCTAGCACTCACCCGGTCCCACAACATCCTCCTGGGGACGTGAATGACAGTCTGGCTACATGTCTGCTGACCCTATTCCCTGTCCCTTCGCAGGCCTTTCGTGGCTAGCCTGACCTCCTCAGTGCCTCCATCATGCCCATCACTCAGACAGGCCTCCCAAGCTGGACCAGGCTGCACTTCTCTGGTCCTGAACCTGCCCCATGTCCCCCAGGGAACAAATGCTAAACATCAACTCTTACAACCAAGCCAAGTAGAAACGTACCAAGACAAGACAAGACAGTAACACAGAGAAGCCAACAAACTCAAAACAGCTTGACACAAGCAATCAATCCCAGATTCCCCACCATTCCTTGGCCTTTGCCCTTCTTCTTTTGGGGTTGATTCATCTGCTCCTCCCCTCAAAGATACTCATTAATGACACTGGGAAAATAGCAAACTGACAGTGAGTAGAGAACTCTGGGATAGCAAATCTCGATCAAACCATCAAAGTACACATGACTAAGAACACCAGTTCTGGGCCCTTTTTATCTGAGCTGAATGCCTAAGCTGGGTACACTGAGGTGCCCCTGAGCTCCCTCTGACATACCCAAGATGGACTCAGAGGAGCTACAGCCCGGTAGTCAAATCCTGGGCTAACTGAACACTGCCCACGGCAGGCACAGGACACAAACTCACCTGCCTAGAAGATGCCCAAGATGATACTGGAGAGCAAGCTAGCAGGCGCAGCCCCATTCTACATCTGTGTAGACTGAGGACTGCTCATCTGGGTTGAGCAAGAGGGTTACCTATCCCACTATTTATACCCAAACCTCATCTGTTGTTCTGGTATTTAAAAAAAGTCTTTGGACTGGGGTCTTAAAAGCTTGTGAGAGGCCATCTAAGGTGCAACTTTCCATGTCTAGCACACAGAAGAGTAAAGAAAATTCAAGACACATGGAAACAGTCTAAAGGACTAACGGATCACGTGACTACTACTTCTCCATGACCCAGACACCGGAAGAACTAGACGGTACCACTACTACCAACTGCTCTGACAGAAATCACATTAGAAGATTTTCTGTTGTTGTTAAGACTCATAGCGACCCTGCACAGGGTTTCCGAGGAGCAGCTGGTGGGTTTGAATTGCTGTCCTTGTTAGAGTGGGAGAGAAAACATGGAACAAAACTTAAAATGATACAAAAGATCCAGGCTTACTGGTTGGATCGAGGCTGGTGGACCCTCCGAGACTCTGGCCCTTAGTCACCCTTCAGTTCTGGAAATGAACTCACCCCCCACCAACCAAACAAGAGACAAGTCTTTAGGGGGACCAATAACACCAGGCAATTAGGCACACTGTAGAATAAATAACGATTTGAGATAAGGAGGGCAAGGCCCAAGTTCAGAAGGGCTAGGGAAGGAGGAGAAATGGAAGTTAAGAAGCACAGGGAGGAAGTGGGATGAGGAATGTTACATTTGGGGATTATAATCAAAGACAGGAAACAATGCGCATGGATTGCTGAAGGGACCCTTGTTTTGTTTTTTATCCTTTTCTTTATTTCCCATTCAAAAGTTTAAAAAAAAAAGAAAGTCTTTGCGGAACCGGCAGGGACGCTGGCCCCTGGGGACTGTTTGTGGGTACAGGGCAAGCCTGGAGGTACTCCGGGCACATGGCCAGGCCTTACCTCTTGATGACAAACTGGATACTGTTGCTGGCCTCCAGGATCTTGCGGAGTTTTGCGATTCCAAAGCAGTTGGGCCTGCGGAGGGAGATGCCTTCGGGCAGCCCTACCACGAACAGCTCCTCAGGGTACATCAGGAACTTGGAGTAGGGGACCTTGACTGGTTCTGAGATGCCAATGGCCTTGGCTGCAGAAACATGGCTGCTTAGCGCCACCCAGAGCTGTGAGGCCACTAGCCTCAACCCCATCTCCCATGTCTCCACAGCAGTCAGAGCCCTTTTCAGAGACAGTACTGACTGAACTGTGACCCTCGTTGGCAGGTAAGAAACCTGGAGTCCAAGGTTACATGGCCAGGGTGTGACCCCATAGCCTGTTGAGGTCAGGGATCAGCGATACCCAAGTCCACTGGTCTCTGTGACAGCAGTAGGGGCTACTGCCTCCCCCCATAAATAACCACCAAAGCCGTGGTATGGCTGGGAAGCAGGCCAGACCTGAGGGCCAGGCTGGGCTCTGTCACTCACAGCTGTATGAGAACAAAGTGACTACCACCATACTATGGACACCCCACTTGCTAGCTGTGGGGCTGTGGATAAGTTGTGTAAAATGGGCACTAGTACTCTGGTAGCGTAGTGGTTACGAATTGGGCTGTGAACCTCAGGGTCAGCAGTTCGAAACTACCAGCTGTTCCGTCGGAGAAAGATGAGGCTTTCTGTTCCTGTAAAGATTTACAGCCTCGGAAACCCTGTACAGGGTCACTGTGGGTCAGAACCGACTCCACGGCTCATCACCATCACCACCACCACACAGGAGGGATGAGAGTGTGTGGGAAACAGCCAGAGCCTGGCAGACCACATACAGTGAGGTCGTCCTCCCCGCCTCCCTCTCTGTCTGGACTCTGGAGGAGGGACCCTGAAGGAGGGTGCTGCAAGTACAGAGGGGTGCTGTTACCAAGGTGGAGAGAAAGAGCCCTCAACCTGGGGCTGAGATAAACCAGGAGTGAGGGAGACACTGACTATAGATGGAAGATGGGGAGGCAGTGTGGGGTGTGTGGGGGAGGCAGTGGGTATGTATGGAGGAGTGGGGAGAGGCAGTGTGTGTGATTGTAGACAGAGGCAGATGAACCAGTTTGGTGGTGTGTACGTGAGGAGGTGGTGCAGTATTTGGGGGCTGTGCCTGTCTCCAGGTGCAGGATGCCTGGAGTTGGGGGATGTCTGGCCAGCAGTTCCTCTACTGCTCCTCCCTCCCGAGGGCAGGTCCCACTCTTGTCTCTGGGCAGGGCACGGCTGTGAGGGTCTGGGGTCTGCAGCCCACTCTCGCTTCTGCTCACCGTATCTCGTGTTGAAGAGCAACTCCACCTGCTTGCGCAAGGGCCGGATCACATCGCCGTGGCTGTCTGGAAGGCAAAGGCAGTTTGCTAAGGCTCTCCGGTGGCAGAAGCTCCTCACTCACCGCCCAGCTCTGTGGGCAGCCAGAGCCCTATGGGAGCACTCAGCAATGGAAGTGGCTGGGTGGTGGATTCTGACCTATTTCATGAGAAGTCCATACTTCCGGGACTCAACACCTGTCTATGAAAATGGGTCAATGGTACCAGCATCCTAAATGGAGGCTGAAACAGTCTGTGGACTAGGCGTGCCCATGGGATTTACAAAGTGTCATTGACGATCAGCTCAGTGAGTGACAGTCCATTAAGGGCTGCAATCCAGTTCTAAATGGCAAGTACATGTTGCATAGCAACCAAATCTGTTGCCCTTGTATTTTGATCTAAGTAGGAAATAAACCAGTCCTGATGTGGCACTGTGGGATAAGCACTGATCGCAAAGTTGGTTTGAACCACAGGTTGGCGGTTCAAAATCATCAGCCATTCCTCGGAAACCCTATACTTGGTCGCTATGAGTTGGAACCAATTCGATAGTACTTAACAACAAGGAGTCCCAGTTGCTCAGTGGGATCAACAATGTCAGTGGTTCAAATCTACCATTAGGAGAAAGATGAGGCTGTCTGCTCCCAAGACGACTGAGTCTCTGAAACCCTATACAGGGTCACTATGAATCTGAATCAGTGTGATGGCTTTAGGTTTGGTTTGATTTAGGAAGCACACGGCTCTGCCCCAATCCAAGATGGTAGCTGACCACACTGCTGTGAATGCATCTAGTGTTCTCCAGAATCCTACCGATAATATTTCTCTCCAAGTGGCCCCAGAGCCTTCCTCCTGAAAGTCTCGGGAGGTGGATGAGGGAGACTCTGGAAGCAGCACACATTCAGAATGGCATAGTTGTTACCATTTTTCAGTGGGGCACAGGTGTTTGCTTCCTGTTGTTGTAAAGTGCCGTCACGTCAGTTCCAACTCACATCGACCCTGTATGGGGTTTCTGAAGAGCAGCTGGTGGTGGTGGTGGTGGTGGTTATGTGCCATGGAGTGGGTTCCGAGGCTGTAAATCTTTACAGGAACAGAAAGCCTCATCTTTCGCCCGTGGAATAGCTGGTAGTTTTGAACTTGTTGTTATTGTGAAGTGCCGTCGAGTCGGTTCCGACCCAAAGCGACCCTTTATAGGGTTTCTGAGGAGCAGGTGGTGAGTGTGAACTGCTGACCTTGCAGTTCAAACGGCTTTGCAGTCTGGCGCATTAACCCACAGAGCCACACCAGGACTCCAGTTTTGAAGTAGTGGGTTAGAAATGACCTTTGGTTAGCAGTCCAATACTTACCTTTCAGCGCCCACACCAGGACTCCTACTCAGGTCAAAATAACACAGACAACAGATTTGCTTGCTATACAATTTATAAGCAGCCTTTGCTTCTAAGCCCAGCTGTTAACTAGTGGGTGCATTAGAGTATGCTGCCACCAGGTGGCAGCAGACATTTGCTAATACCTCATGGCCTTCTTACAGACTGGGATTTGAGAAAGGACACTTCTGTGATACCCACTCATCCAATCCTAGGAGCAGATAGATTGATACTCAGGAGGGGAAACAGACCGCTCCCCACCTTGATATTCCTGTCCTACCCCCGTTCTCAGCAGAGAGGGAATAAGTAGTACTCTTTCTTGGGGTTCCTTGAACACATCTGTTCCTTAGACACAAAGCCAATTTTGAATTCCCAGGTTGAAATTCTCTCTGCTCAGAAAGACGAGGCCCAGCCTCCAGCCTTCAAGCCTTGGTGGGAGAAGCAGGGTGTGTATGAAATTAAAAGCAAAGTCTTGTAATTTTCCTTCTCGGAGAAAGCTGCTTGTGCCTCTGAGAAAGTGCCTCCTGGTTTTTAGAAGACAGCTCTAGACATCTCCGCCACCTCAGACCAGCCCAGGATTCCCACCCTCTCTCTGGAGAACTGGAGAGAGATGAGGAAGAGAGGGAGGGGACCCAGAAACCAAGGGGGATGGGCAGTGGCAAGGGGAGGGAGGTATGTGGATGGAATGGGGGATCCCTCACTCACCCTCCATGGGCCTCTCCTCTGGCCGCAGGTCCTCACTGGTGCCTTTGTCTGAAATAGAAGAGAAACTGATGGATAGCCACCATTCTCGCCACCCCCAGGGCCTGTGATGCCAAAACTGCGACTCCCACTGGGGTCGGGGACCCCAATTCCTTACAGGTACTGCTTCACCTCCAAGCATCTAGAGAAGTGAGGTTCAGAGAACATGCCTGGTACCAGCCCCGTCAGCCCTTCCTTCCATGGTTCTGTTCTGGGAGCTGAGGACACAGCAGGGAACAAGACAGAGCCCAGTCCTCCTGGTGTGACTTCAAACAGAAGGACACGATGCCAGCTGGTGTGACGTCAGGAGAGGAGAACAAGACGGGGGTGTGGGAGGGCCACCGGACCTGGACCTCATCTCTCGATGCTCATTAACAGGCAGTGAGGACGCAGTGTGTGAGCGCAGAGTGGGTGGGGCATGTGAGGGGCAGGGGGTGGCGAGGAAGGAATGACCAGTGTGGAACGGAGAGTACACTCAGCTTAAGCTAGGGAATTGAGTATAAGAGGGATGAGAATGGGATTGGGGCCAGTGGCCTGTGTGTCCCAGGTAGAGTAGCTGATACTTTTACCACAAAGACTGAGGGAAGCAACTGAGGATTTTAGAGGGAGGGGGAGAGGCTGGCTCAGTGATTGGGAAGCTCACTTGGGGCTGTGTGTGGCCAGGTGTTTTCACGAAGGACTAATGGTTAAGCAGTGTGTAGTATGCAGCTGGTGACCAGCAGAACACGGGGAACTGGGGCTGTCTCGGTTGTTCTGCAGTCAGCTCGTGGACAGAGATCGGGGAGATGAGAGAGCCGAGCACCTGGTCACCTGTTCCAGGTGGAACTATGGCTAGAAGGAAGGGGCTGATGTTAGGAGAATTGCCAGTGGGCACCAGCCTGCTCTCTGGAGGGCAGATGAGCTCAACCCAGAAGGAGCTGGAAGCTTCTAGAAGGTTTCATCTGCACTCAGCTGCTTGGAAAGGTGGAAGGCCAGCCCTGGGCTTTGGGCCCAAACTCTCCTCAGTGAACTGGGCACCCTGTGGGTTGTGAATGTCACACCCATCTTCTTTATGCCTGAAGGTTTCTTTCTGGCTGCAGGTGCAGAATTGCTAGCTGCCAAGTGCTGGAGTTAACATCTGGAAGTAGCTCTCAATCACTGCTGGGAGATCAACATGCCAGCACCCTTGCCTCTCAGTTCAAGAACTCAGAGATGCAAGATTTACACCCCTCAGCTGATAGGATTTGGCTCAGTGGCTCACAAAGGTAGTAGCACTTGCGTGTCTGAGTCAATTCAGACTCACAGTGACCCCTTAGAGCCAACTAAAACTGCCCCATTGGGTTTCCTGGTGTGGCGCTGTAGATAAGCATTGGACTGTGAACTGCTATGTCAGCAGTTCAAACCCACTA